CTCGTACGTGCACTGCACAGTGTCTGCCCGTCAATTCGTCCGCTGACCTACTGGTTAAAATGTAGAACGTGCGAAAAAACGTTAACGGTTGAACATTAGTACGGTGCATTGGTACACGCCAGGTAGTCGACTTAGGTGGAGAGAAAAAGTTAGGTACGACGAAGTCATAGCAGCAGCTGTTGTCATCAAACGAGAGCAGCAACAGAAGTGTCCGTATTGGTAAGGGAACGAAGCATCGTTGCATGAGAACTGAAGGCTCGTAGTTTATGTAGCTCTGATTGAAAACTATCGAGTTTCGCAGCACACTACACCGCTCGTGTCCAGAATACCCGGCAGTCGCCCGAAGAGACCACTCTGACTTCTTTCTCTGATCAAGTTCCACTGAAAACAAATACGTTATGGAACTTTCTGTACCGATCATAATCTAATCAGTAAGTAAAACAAGCTGATACATAACTTGATTGACGTTGCGTCGGATGCAAGGCGGCGGCCAACACCTCAGTTGATACAGAATAGGAATATATATGAAGGTAATACAACGTCTACATTTAAGAATAAACTTTGTTTGTTTGTGGCCTGTTAATTAAAAAGGCTTCTTATGCTGATAGTCATGTGTCAAGCAATATTAGATACTTGCAACCCTTCGTATCTAGGCTGAAAGCACATATTCATTTGAAATAAAAACGAAAAGTCCATGTTAATCATGGTTTGTTTTCTAGTAGAGTTAAATTAGCCGGTTCGACAGATTTATAAAATGTCGCTATTACGCTTGATTACTGAATGATCGTTTGAATAGTCCGATTGTCGCACTCATACTTCATGAAAGTCCGTGAAGGCTATGACCCGAAATAAATAGATAAAGTAGCTGTTCCTATCCGCGCATGCAGTCGTCACAATATGAACCCGTCGCGTATTCATTTAAAAGTGAAATTGACGTTAAAAATAGAACACCTATTGTTCAGAATTTAATATAAACCTGTGTTTAATAAAGCACAGCAGCAAACTGCCCCCCGTGAAAATGAATGATATACACATTCAGTTTTTGCCACTGCTGCTGCTAACATCTGTGTGACACGGCCCCTGAAGTTATTCCGTAGTCCTTTAGCCACCTAATTAACTGGTTTCATCATAATTTGTAATAAGCGCGTCCTGCGGTACATGAACTATTGAAAACCGCCAGTAGACGGTCCTAGACAACTTTTTGTGTTTAATTATGTGTTAATGTTCCCATACTAATATACTTTTTGTGGTGGAGTGTGAAAAAACCACAAAGAATATTCATGTTTTGTTAACGACGCTGTTCCTATTTTATATTTTACGTAACACTAACCACTTGATAATTGGCGAGTATTTACAGCTCTTTCATTTGTAAGCGCACGTCATAGCTCAGCTTCTCACTATGGCGAAATCAACCGAAAAGCTAAACCACATTGGGATTATTATGTATAAAAATTTGTTAAAGTTAATGGCTTTTCTGACACTCAGCTAGAGTTTCTAACGGCTCGATTATAGCATCGATGGCACAAACCTCAATAATACCGGCCTTCATATGACCTCCTTTAGGGGTACACGATCATAAGAATCAATCCAGCTATTATCGTTCTTACTACCAGCTTTGGGACATTGGTACAAACGGGCGGAGCCACATCCGTTGGCCACAGGCGCTATATTTGATTATTATTATTTTCATTTTTTCCAATATTTCTACCTCATTAGGCGTCTGATTTGTTGTCAACCGACCTCTCACTCAGTCATGGACGTAGCAGGCCGAATCTTGGGAGCAAGCTTGTTACTTGCTAGGACCTCCGGGAGATAACGTCGATAGTGATGATGCATGTGGTGACAATGATTCCAATCGTAAATCCCCCCAAACAGCCCCGTAACCATTATTATAACTACAATTGGTTGGATAACTAGAAAAGCGCGAACAAAACCACTATCGATGGGTTCGAAAGACGGAACACAGTAAAACGAGCCACAGTTGTAGAAAACTGCAATAAAAAAAGTACGAAAAAATACCCTTTATCTGCATCGGTCGATCACACACGAATCTATGGGCTGGTTATTGGCTTTGAACAGATACGTTCCTGCTAGAGTTTTTGCTGTTTTTGTTGCTGTTGACCAACAGTTGTTCCTTAAAGCCCTGAAAGTTCCATATACATATTATAAGTGTATATGCCAAGATATGGTGTTTCGGTATATAGTCGCTATTTATGTTTATTTACGTAAAATTATTGTTTGTTGCCTCTGTCGATGCCATGAGACGTTCAGTATGCTTGCAGGCTACGAATGATATCTCGGGCGGATATTGAAGTCCGTGTCCATGGGTGAAATCGGCTTCTGTTGTCCTTTGAAGAGCGCTTGTTGCGAATTACTAGACGAGATCTGCCATATTTACGAAAAAGTATCGAAAATTAACCATCGAACAAGTGGCGGATTCTTATCATATAAGATAGATCTTTCATTATCGGTGAAATGCCTTCGCATCTGTTCCAATTGCAATTGAAAACTCTTGTTGTATATCTGTTAACTGGTTAGGTGCAGCAGGTCTTTGTAATGAACTGTACAACGGTAAATCGAGGCACCGATCTTGTTCCGCAGCTTTGTCCGATTTTGTTTTGTAATGAGCTGTTTTTTTTTGTTCCATATATTGCACGTATTTGTCAGATGAATTAAAAATTTCAATAGTGCATAATTTATAAAAATTAATATTTTCATAATTAGTCACTGATATGCCCGTATTTACGAACGAAGCCAGTTGAAATAATAGGTAACAATAGAATGTTCCACAAACGTTCAGGAAGCCACGCCTATGTCGGCATGTCTCTAGCGTAGGGTCCGGAAGGACTATACTTGATACGGGGAAAAGGTGCCAGAGACCGATGCAGTGGCAAATAAGGACTGTAACTATTTCATGGCTAATGGATACTAAGTCAACAGAGAAACAACTTAGCAATAAGAGAGTAAGTGAACGTCACGAAGTTATTCATAACTTGAATTAAGCATATGCTTGGAAGAAATAGAGAACCCTAATGAGGGTCGCCCTTATATATGGATCTAAATGCATTATGAATACTGAAAAACAATAGGTTTTAACCAACAATAGGTTTAACCTCTGGATGCACTTATATAATTGATAAATTGACAGAAGTTTCAAAATGAAACTTAAATTTCGTTGATTTTCAACGAATTGTATTCATGAAATGTATCGTTCTATCAGTGAAGACGCTGGCCGCGTGAGAAGAACAATGGTCGGAATGAATGGAAGCAAACTTTGAAAATTCGTCAAGCCTATAATCCTTTCAATTAGCTGCATCTTCGTATCGTACCATCGCTATAGAGAACATTTTCCTAACTCGGATTGGTTATGAAAAGTGGATTTTCGCGGGCACGATACATTACTACCAGTATTAACGTCTGCTTCGATACGGCTGGACATAATTGAAATTCGAAGTATTTAAAAAATAAATCAACTACACGATAAATTTCATATACAAATTGATATCCTTGTAAATGAGGGGGCATCCTCATAATCTCAACTAACCATATTTCAAAACCTATTGATTATATGAGGACAGTTAGAGTTGAGCTTTGGTGACAACCCTGTAAAATGTTAGATATGATCAGTAGGACACATTCGGATCAGGAAACGAAGTCAATGGCTACGCTCTTCAAACCCATTGTGCGTTTCTTCTCCGAAACGAACGCATCCACTTTCAACACTTTAACGGAATGGACCTCAAAAGACGCCAAACTGTTGTTTATCCTCATGGCTTCTCTGATGTTTGCTATTTGTCAAAAATAAACAATGTCTTCCTTCTGAAAACCTATGTTCGATGAAGTAGTTCATATATGTATATCAATAATTAACATGCTAGAGAAACTCTTGATACATTCACATTGATCTATGTTAAATTTCCCCAATACGATACGTTTTCTTCTAGCTTTTTTCAAACCACCCATAAGCTAACAATATATTTATATGTGTAACTATTTATAACAGTAAAGTAAATACCATTGTTGCGTGCCTCTAGCAATCGTTCCGGTAGGCGCAGGTGTTTCAATTTCATGTGAGCAGTATTACTACTATGATATTGGCTATTAATACAGCCATTTGCAAGCGAGTGGAACGGTGATTTTGTTTGCAGTAGGATTAAATCGATGTTTTAGAACAATGTAGTTTAGAAAAAATGAAATAAATGGGTATGGTCTTCTTTCCCCTTCGGCTTTAACTACGACGCTACTGTTCCTAATAACACATAGAAGTTGGTCTTCGATTATTGCATTATCCTAGAACTGTAAGCAACGTCAGCCCACTTTCATTTCTTCAGTTTATGCGTCTCTCCTGGGAAGAATGATGTTGTCGTGCATGCTGTGGCTTAGCAACAACCAGATATGTTGTTGCTTCATCACACCCTCAACTGACACCCACGTGTAACAACAATGAAGACGACATGTTCAGTTGGCTGAATTATTAATACTTATAACATGATGTGATATTTTACAGATATATTAACTAATCGTTTGGTGCAAATGGCATGGTTAACTTCAATTGCTTAAACGACTATAGAAGCCTAACCACCGGCAGCAGCAGCAGCAGCGATTACGGAAACAACAATACGGACTCGAGCTTTGGATTAGGATATCTTTTTCTTCCAACGGGAGAACGGATTAGGGAGCGAGCAATGACGATGCCCAGCTGCGCAGACATCCATCCATCGATTCCAGGATTACTAACAAGCATTTTCCCAATTACCGTTTGTGATCCATTGGCTGTGATTGCTACTGGTTTAACTGTTGAGACAGCCAGCCAACAGTCGCTACTACCGCTAACTATCCTGCCGGCTTTCCCATTGAACTATCTGCTGCGCAGTAGATAGGGTGGGGTGGAGTGGGGAAAATAGGGGGCAGCAGCGGTGCACTGGTGCGCGCGGATTCCGTTAGTCAGTGGCACATGGTCTAGTGGTGATAATAATGGTAGCGGCGGTGGAGTCTGTCTGAACGTGCCTGTGTGTATGAAGGGCCCATAGTTGATAACGTACTGTGTGTAGCGTGTTGTCTACTGTGCTGACGGCAGCAGGCGCTTGCATTTCTGCGAGGGCTTAAACCGCGACCCTTTCCGCTTTGCGGAGGCTCAGGCAATTTCCGTTACGAAAGAAGAGGCTCCCCTTTACCGGGACCACTGGCCGGGAATCGCCTAAGAGTGCTAACCCCGCGCTGAAAACCCCAGTCGAACACTTGCCTACGCCAGGGTCATTGACGGATCCCGACAAGCACGTAGTCTTAAGCTCTCTACTTAGATAAAGGTTTATTATAAGCAAGTGACGGCAAGCATCATTCACGTACCTTTTCAATCTGTAGTCACGAGACCATCAAAAATTTGCACGGTTTCCGCGTGGTTCATTTCGCAGGTGTGTTTCTAGTGCTCATTATTTCGGTAATACGTTGTTTTCGTAGGCTGCTGAAATTGTTTTTTGTCAGTTTGTCCACTATCGAAGGCTAGACAGATTACGTGTGTCAAACGTGTGTTCTCGACGGTATACAAACCAGGACAGAAGGACCACTTACCCTGAAAGAAGGTGTTAGAATCCTTCAGGTTATCATTCTACTCTACACAGTAGTGCATTTTGTTTCTGCACAGCCAATTTGCTGCTCGTTATGCAGCCTATAGTCCTGAGTTGTGTGGCTCTAGTTGCCCTCGTAGGCGTACAATGTGACCGTGTTTTTACTGGCGGCCTAACTCAGGTTGGTACGGCGCTGGCTGAACGATCTGCTGCCTCCCTACTCTCAAGGACGCTTTCGAGCTTTGCGCGAGCCACTAAACGCAGTCATGAGTCGAATAAAGACCAAGAGTATACAAAGGACGTTAGCGTTCCAGCACATCAGCTTCTGGATAACTCAACCCCACCAGTAATGACAGCTTCCGCATCGAACCAACAAGCCATTAAGGTGAGATAAGAAGCACCGTAATCATACATAATCCCCTAAATATTTGAAACGTGTGATTCAAAGATCTGCATACAGGGCATCATCATTTTGACGTCTGAAAAGCTTTTTCATTCTTGTTTTAAGCCTTGTCGTGATCTCATTGCCAGCAGAGGCAGGTTGTGTGATAAAAGCTTGAACGGATTTTGTGTTACTATCAAAGCTGGTGCCAGATAATACGAACACGACTTAACGAAACATACGTAGTATTTAATACTCGTAAAAGCCCTAGCTAGGGCACGATTGTCAAAAAAGTTAGCATTGATAGTTGTATTTATAACGATCCTATTTGTGACCTGATTGAGGCGCAATAGGTTTTCGAAATAGCAAGTCCATAAATAGAACTCTTCAATGTGAAGACATTACGGAGCATGCTATGTGAAGCTTTTTGCTATTTTCCATCCGCCACTGTAACTAATGATCATAAGTCGAATGAAACATTCTTTGATTTTTACGACCAGCAAACACAAAATTTGGTGATTCAATTGAATGAATCGCTGGCTATCAACCAACACAAGCTAATAGTTCCATATAATAGTTCTTATATAATAGTTCTATATAATAGCTCAAATGTGAATCATGTGGATTAGAAGCAAAAATGTACTTCATTGCCTAACAGTGATGGCCTGCAGTTAAATAATTAAAATACATTTTTTTCACAGTATGGCGGAAGGGGCTCTCTAGTAAGTCAGCCTTATGTATGAACAGTTTTTCGGGAGAACTAGGTGACCATTAATGGCAGGATTATAACATCACAGCATTATATCTAGCTACGGTAGGACATGTTACCTAGATGTATTGCATTACTCACTTAAGAAAAATGGCACAGGAGCCTTCAGAAAAGAAAATATGCTGTTGTGTGGGGACTAAATACGCGGTTGTTCAAACCATGTTTTTTATTACCCCAAGCTATAATGTCCTATATGAATGAAAATACGAGTTTTTTTTTACAACCACGTGCGTAATGTAAAATTTACATTATTAATAAAGTGATTAAATTGGTCAAGTGTGATTTCGGTATTGTTTTTATATATTTTAATCGATTTTTTATATGCATGTTGCATAGTGTGGATTTGTCTTACCATCAATACATCTGCTTGCCTTTTAAATCTTGAATAGCTATGACGCTTCGCTATATTCATCATATTAAATGAGTTGTTTCGTACTTGCTACATCTATGGTTGTTTTAGCGGGATAATCCTCCTCGTTATTTATAGACGTTGGACAATACTATTGATTGTAGTAGTATCTAGACAAGGTAGGTCAGATGAGTAAATCTAAGTTACCCTCTGAATCGTATATACGCGCACGCATATACATGAGTACGTAAAAATCTACTGAATATATTCATTGGTGCTTGCTTTTAGTTTTTTCTTTTCGAATTGACACGGCAACAAAGCCGTTGTTTGGCAAAGATTAGATATCAACTGAATCAGCTCCGACAGCCTCCCTATGAACCGTAGGCGGACGGGGCGGTTGAGCAGGGTAGTCTGAATTTTTTGTCTCCTGACCAGTGACAGAAATGATGCGCGTCTACTAAACATATGTATATAAGAATAAATACATAAAAGAAATACTATACTTATGCTGTGATGGAACCTTTGCGTGTCTGTTGGGTAATAGTACAGCTTCCCTTCGTTTTCTGTTTATAACAATAGGTACTACAGAGATAAAGCTTTCTGTTGTCAAGTCTGTGAGCTCTGTCCTTGAAGATATGTCCTGGGACGGTATTCTGTCAAGGTCATCTCAAGCAGAATTCGTATTCGTCGTGCAAGCTGCTTTGGACTAGCTAAATATTTAGCCGTTTGACAGAAGGCGTTTGTTAGCTGTGTTTGATTCCTCGGCTGCTGCTCCGGCAGCGGATTGAACCACCAGCTAAATGTTGAGTGTATAGGGCGACTCCTGCTGACGTAGGGAAAAGCGCGTCGTTCTGCTCTGAAGCTGAAAAGCTGCTCAAAAGCTCTCTGAAGTTGGAAAATTCGTCGATTTACCACAGATTAGTATACTTTTCGGCGCTCTTCGTTTTAAAAACGGATCTTCGAAATCACCTCTTTCTCGGCATGGCATTTAAAACTTGCCCTTCTAGAAAAGGGCCAACGAACCTGAAAAGGGCATAGAGCTATTTCCTCAATTTTTGTTTCCTCTATATCGACAATTCGCAATAGTTTCCCGGGGATAATTGTTGCCTAAACTGATAATGGAACTATTGCCACTGAAGCTTTTTTGCGCTTTCACGCTCAAAAAGCTTAGCGTTAACCTCAGACTACGTCATCTTCCGAAATACATTCCTATAAGCACGTATTGTTGACTAGATTGCTAATAGACAGAAAACTAATTATAAACGTGCATATTTGTTTAGCAAACGCACTTACTTAGTTCTTTGCTTTTCTATAGCCTCCTTGATGATATGAATACTAGACATCCGCCTATAATGCGTTTTTCTTTTCTAGGTTTTTCTTATTTGAGGTAACTTTCTCACTTGGTAAATGCTTATTGTTGAGATACGGTAAAGACTGATTTCTTTTTTTGTTTCTACAACATCGCTGTGAAGTATATCACTATCAATTTCTATTTGGCGCTATTTTGTATTCAGCCAGAAAGAGAAAAGCCGGCTGCCATTACGTGAACGGCGACATGGCGGATGCTACGATCACGAAAATACAACCGTCGATAGCGTTTTACGGAATTCGACCATCAAACTGTTGTTTGAGATGGCTCCGCAACTTATGCACGCCGTCGTCGTACCAAGCTTGTCTGCGAACTGTGACCACTATTAATAACGGTTGTACGTACGAAACAGCACCCCCGGCTTGGATTGGCGGCCTCCAAGAGCGCTTACTTTAGCCTGGCATCCAGCTCTGTTCTCTCGTCGCCATGGAGACGCTATTTGGATGAGGCGATTGTGGGTAAAGCTCTTTGGAAGAGTCCAGTGGCACGCTAATAGGTTCCTAGTTCAGGCGCTTTTACACTAATCGCATACTAGCTTTAACCGTGTCAGTCTATCGCAGGATGCCTACCAAGCAGGTAAACCGCTGTTCGTTTAGATATGAAAAGACCTTTTATGTACTATACTTCTCGCATCATTCACTGTCGAGCTCATAGAAGTACTGAGATGGTGTAGCCAATAGGCGGATCGGCCAGATCAAGGGACTGAGTGAACAAAGCTTTCATCTAAAATGCGAATTATTTCCTTTGCTTCGTCAGTGCAGCTTGTGTAGTACAGAACATGTATTTATTCGGCATGTTCGGTGCTCCGTGCCGCTGTTCTGTGTGTATAAGAGCTGTTATAACGTTGCTGCAAGTCCAGCCTATATTATTTAAGCAGTATTAGGCAGCGTAACCAGCACAGTGTCTTTGTTTAATGAATCTTGCTTTTTCTCAGACACGGTAAGATTGTATGGCACGTCCGGCACCGAGAACGATGATGGTGACGACTGTGCCCGCTAGCAATGGCTGCGAATGACAGGTGAAACTTGCTTGAGACAACAGTAAGCCAAGCAAAACGGGCAGCAGCGAAGGTGATGGGATCGTGAAAGTGGATAGGAAAAAACTAACTCTTCAAAGCAAGAAGCTTAACAAGGTAGTAAAGACAACAAGGTAATCAAGCAACGGACGAACAGGCAGGCGCTCGACCGACCGAATAGGGCTGTAGATCGCTCGCTTCGTACAAGATCGACCAAAAAGCTCCGCGTCCATTTGTAGGCCAGGCAAACAGGCAGGCAAGTATTAGTGGTGGCGGCCGACAAGGTCACACGACGTCCGATATCAGATCCGAACTGATGGTCTTAGACGAACCAAAACAAAAACGAAGATACGTTTCAACCTGGCCATGAGCAGAATTTCAGCGAGAGAATACAACGAACGGACGATCCGAAAATCATACTTGCTTACGTATCCGTCCGGACGGACGGACGCCTTGTACATGATGGTGGTAGTGAACGCGGAATGGCGTTACGCTCGCTTTTGTTGAGCACGAAAAAATAGTTACAGGGTAGGATTGGTGGCAACGGAAAAGAGTAAGGAGTCAACGGGCATTACCGCACAGAAAATAGAAGGCATCAAGTGAGCACGAGTGTCACGCGTTTTCTTTACTCTAGCGGCTCATGTTTATGGTGAAGTGTAGTTAAATTGTGCCATAGTAACTATTATTCTGGGTAACGACTACGAGTGATTGGAAACTGTTTGCCCCATCTTCGCTTATTTGTCAGTGATATACATTTAGTTGAAAGAAACTGTGCAAAGTGGTTAATCCCTCGTGATTGTAATAATAATAAGTGATAAATTAGAGATTTGTTAACTCCATTTAGTTCATCGAGCTCGAATAGATTTGATATAGTGAAATGCTAGCGTTGAACCAATCGTTTGATGAGGGCACAAACATGCCATAAAGGGGAGGCAGTGAAACCCCTTTAGTTGGCCTCTTGCTTCTTTTTCTGTCCTTACTTCTTTGATACGGTATCTGTTGTTTCTGGGCTAATCTCCAGAACGCTCTCGAGGGGGAACATTCTATCGGAGCTCTAGTACACTGGCGGGTCCGGCTCGAAACGTACTACATGCCCCTTGCATGTTCAAGGACAAGCCTCCAGTCCTGCTGATCCCGGTGGCTGCGCACTGAGACCTAGCCAACACTCAACTCCCCATCATCTAGATTCGATTGCCTGCTGTAACGCGCCTTGCCTAGTGGGCAACTAGAGGTGAAGCAGTGCAATGTTAACTTTCGATAGTGCGTCCATACTGTTCAAAAGTATATTCAGCCAAACTAGATAAATAGCCGCCATTTACAAAAGCTACATCACACTAGAACAGAGACACCGATCAGTCGCTTTACCTCAGACTGAAAGAATCTATGCCATAGAAGGTCGACACGTGAAAATAAAGCAGCTATCGTAAAGCTGCTAGTTGTAACGTCCGACACACACGTTCGGATCATATTAGTGTACGTGTCTCATCGCGAAAAAACCGCGTCTGCAGCCACGTCCGTGAGTGGCACCGTCAGCCTTGCATCCATCTCATAAATATAAAGAAAGAAACTATCGAAAAGTAGGGCTTAGTTGTTAGCAAGCGCTCATTACCTCGTTAGCTATAAGAGTCTAGGAAAGGTGTGCGCTTCTGTGCAAAAAAGTAGCAAATATGAAGGATAATAAAACCATACACCGTAAGTCGGAGTATCGGCGAGCCTACCGCTGTATCAGTAATCAAAAGAGACATGACATTTGGCAGGAAAATGCCGAATATCGACAGGAGCGGCGTCGAAGAGATTTCGGCCATGAGAGCTGGAGTTGGGATACAAATTCATCCGATGATGAATGCACATGCGGCTGTGGGATGAGCGACGCCCTCATGTCGTACCGAGATTTCAGCAAGAGTATGGGGGATCTTCGGCCGGAAGAGTTGGGCGATCGAGAACATAACTGTGACGATCGATCATCAGCGGGAAGCAGCCCGAAGGATCCGTCGAGTCCGAGACACTCTGGTCACCTTAACCACAGTAATCGAACAGGGACGCTTGTACAACGTTTCGCCGATAAGTCTGTGTCTACCGATGGTCTTGCAAGCTTTATCGAGAAGGCCACTCAAACTGAGCAATCATCAACAAGGGCTTGCGTCAGCCAAGTAGCAAATAACCAAGCAAATGCCGGTGTACGCGAAAAGAAACTGATACCGAAGGTTAGATTTACAGCTCCCGCGGATCAGCTTCGACGGAACTCGACGGAGGCTGTTAAATCCAGACCAAATTCGGCTATCTATCAATCTGAGTACCGGTCCAGCTTCGTGCCCATACGCTTTTGATGAATACACCAAGAAAACAAAGAAAAGGATGCATAGATAGCAACGTCACAGCATCATGATGCAGTGATGTTACTACGGAAAGGGGGGGGGGTGTTGACAGCATCCTCGAGTCCTAATCGTTGGTTTTCGGTCCTGGTATCCAACATACGGAATTTCCGATGCAATCTTTTTACTCGAACACATGATCGCTGTATCGGTAATGATAATGGCGGCTTATTAGATATTTATTCCAAAATAGAGAATGTTTTTAGCTGTATCCTTAATCATAGGCTGGGCACTGCCACGCAAGGTCCTTTTTAATTTATTCCCAACCCGTTTGCCCTTCGCGCCCGAAAGTCACGGTTGGTAGAAAACCCAGCTTTGCTTGATCTAACCCACGTAATGATGACCATTAAAAAAGCTCATGAAGAATTTTTCAAAACAACACAGTTCACTGCCATATATACATTTATCCCAAAAATATATGCATATATCTATATACAAGTGAAAGTCTCTGTATTTTCCGAATAGAATTTACAGTGATGTTAACAACGTACAATATGACTATATGTACTGCTAATCCACGAACCAATTTTATGTTATCATTCATGTGACAGTGAGCACCAGCGGAACAATATAATTAAATCAATCTCATACTCATGGGCTGCCTCCTTTAACATGTAGAGAGTCAAATAAAGCTTCTTGCAATAATCACGAGTTCCGAGTGTTTTCCCTATGTAATTTTTCTAGTTTTTCTATAGAAACTACCTTAAATTATGACTCAGTTAGTGAAGATTTTAAATGCCACACGAAAATGTTTTATTTTACTCATACAGGTACAAGTATTTACATATTGCCCAAGACCAGGTGATTGTGACTGAAATGTGTGTATATATATACATTTATGAAAATAACGATAATTGTCATCACCATTGCATTCGTGTGCGAGGGTTGATTGGTATGAATCGTTCATTGGTCAGAGGCTATATACAATGATCAGAATGACAGGCATGATCGGACTACAGATCCAAATTTAACGATTTAACAATAATATAATAAGGTCTGTAATATACATATACACACATGTGTCGTGTGTATATTATATGAGTATAAATAATTGTTATCATTCTATCAGCTGCGTACGACAATCTTCAACGCTTCACTCCGATTGATTTGTCGTCATAATGCAGCCTTTGACCGTGAGTCAATAAACTGAAGTTATATAGTCGATAAATAACTGTCTGGCTCTCCGTGGTTCCCTTAAGCGAGATGGATTCTATGTACTCAGGAGTCAATTCTAGGATTTGTTTGTTTATTTATTTACCGGTACTTATTCATTTATACTAAATAATTATACTATTACTCTTTTGTTTAAGCAACAATTCTTGCTTTACTTAACGTGCTTATTATTCTAATGTAATACTTCTTAAATGGAACAACCAATCGAGGTAGTCGATAACAAGCGACCATGAATTATAAACCCCTGTAGTAGGTAACGTGTTCACCTACTAAGCTTAGGGACACGTGCTGGTATAGTTTTGGGTCCGGCCATAGATATAGCTTATGTCGTACTGGGAGCCGGCCGAAGTAATGGCTAACGACATAAGTATCGGACACAACCCCAGAGAAATAATTTTTTGAACAGCTATCATATATTGTGTCCCTTTTCCCAATAGCATTTCAATCCTCCTATCGCGAAAACCAACAACCCAACAAAATGTTCATCCTTTCCTATCTGTATTGTAAAGCGAAGCGAAGGTACATTTAGTAGTGCAGGTTATCATTTATACCCGTCACCCGTGCGAATAATGATAGTCGTTAGGACCTATCCGTTGCCCGTAAAAGTTTTCTTCGTAATATCGCATGCGGTAACATGTATCGCCATCTGTTTGGCGGCGAGTCTCATGAGTAAAAATTGCCTAGACCTATTTCACTGCCAGCCAGACCTAAAATTTAGGCCTCGTATTAGAATAACATTAGATGATATTACTACTAGCCTTGTTAATACTCGTTAATAATAAATACTTAAGAAGTCTAGAGTATTTGTATAGTTGGCTATATTCTCCCAACCAAGCGTGTCGAATGAGCAAAAGCAGATATCTCACGCAGCTCGAAACATTAATATAGCATTTCATATAAAACACCACAGTAACTACGCATTATACTAGACGATGGGTGCGTGACAAATGGTGCGTGGGCTGTGGTTTCTGACTGACATCAGTTCCTGAGCCCCTGCACTCTATTCTACTACTGTAGTTCTGGCGGAAGTAAAACAAGTCCGAGAATAGTCAATAATACTTTAGTATTGACCGAAAACATATAATATAGTTAATTTGTCTACCATATGATCTTTGATTTATCCGATTATAACACACTGTTGGGATAAGTCTGTTTTCCAACGCAGCTTCTGCCTGCATCCGGAAGGCTGATTTGGCCACTCATTGGTGTTCCCCGCCCGAGCTCACAATTTTCTCATCTTGCTTTGTTATCTTCTCGGACGCTTCCTTCTATTCCTGTAGTCAATGTGAGTGCCTGTGTGCGTGTGCATGTTCGGGTTCTGTGATAACCAGCCTTTGAAACAACGGATACTTCGAATCTCGTACGGACACTTCGACAGCAAGTGGATACCGTTTCGCTGACGATCGGCCCATCAGCTGCTAACTCCTGAAAAGCTGAATGTGCATCAGCACACCATTTTATGACTTCGTTGGCTGATTTCGGCCTTAGTTATTGAGTGCTTCAGTGCCAATGCTGTTCATGTCTGTCATTAAGTCACTGCTCCACAACGCAGGCCGCGTCTGCAGCGACCAGACAGGAACCGAAGGTGTGACATCTTGTTCCGCTACATTCGAATGGTCTTCTGTTCAGCGGGAACGGTGCCTAACGTCTCATGTTCTACAAATAGCGCTAAGGAAGAGGTTGTGCTTTCTAGCGGCATTTATGTCTGTAGATGTGAGTGCAGTGCCTGAGGCAAAAGCTTTGAAGGCAGTTGAGTACTAATCAGTGGGTTGTCCAGTCATTCTGAGTGGTCTGTACCAGAAAGCTCCAGAGGGTCGAAGGAAAATGCCCCGTTTTTGTGAAATTCGGACAGCGCGTTCAACTTCGAAGCTGGCGTTTTGAAAGCGTTAGTGCGTGAGTGATTCTCACGCGAGCGCGTTAGGAGGAGTCAATTCTCTCTAGCAAACCTGGATATGTGTGTAGGGTTGCCCTTCTCACATGGTTCCCATTCGGTCCACTAGCGGTAAAACCGCACGATCGCAAAAGCAAATACCCTACACGATTGCATACATACTATTCGATGGTAACGCTATGCGTATAAATATAGCAAGCAACTTTATGAGTAACAAATTTTCGCATCAAGATTGTAGTTTTCCACCGCTGGCAGTTGTCAAAAGATTCATTTATCCACCCCGATTGCCTAACATCTATATCCTCTGGTTTTTCTCCCGATACGCACACATTTTTCCTTTAAGCTTTCATAATTTGATAACGTAAATAGACACATAATGCGTTAAGCAAATTATCTTTTCGCCGGCTACCAAGCAAAAAATTATTATTATCTTTGATTTATATATATTCAGCTAAAGTTGAAAAGATAAGACGCTTTTCCATTTTCATCGATACTAATTGCAGGACATAAAACGTACCATATCAATTTATTACGTTAGTGACAAGGTTAGTTATTCTTACTGAGAAAAAATTAGGTCAGCTCTAAATTGGCTTTTCAATACCATGCCTTCTTTTGACATTATGTTAAGCAATCAAAAAGACCTGATGCCTTTTTTGTAGCAGTCGTTGGCCATACAGCTTAGGCGCAGGATGGGTCCATAGTTACCCTAAAAAACCTTGAAATCAGTTTTTGTAATACCTATTTTCGTATCTTGTAGATAAATTTGTATGCAGTTATGACTCTATGAGTAATTTGGTTATGCCAGGACTTAAACTGTCTAATGACAAAAAAAATTATCCTTTTTTAGTAAATGCACTTGCGTATGAACATATGTTATTATATAGGTTATCCCTTTATTGAAATGAGAGATCTATATCTACCCTTAAAATAGTAATTTTAGAATCAGTGAGATGATAAGTGAGAAAAGAAACGAATGCTACATTCAACTTTCATTTTTAAATTTCTTTCCGCAGAATGGAATTTAGGTTTAAAAAAAAAAGACATATCATTATGTGGAACTGATAGATCTATCGTAAGGCCAAGGCATGGTTTTACCAAGCTCTACTAAGCCTATCGCCATCGTTTATCTCTTTTAGAGAATGTGTAATATCGAGACAATCATCTAACCGTAATATCTATTGAGGTTAACGCACTTATTCTAACTGGGATCTAGCCACCGTCAAAACGTATCATGTTATACATGGGCATCTTTTGTGATATCAGTCAGATATACTCTTAGCAGATAGCTTCTGATCTTGAATCGAAATCAAATATTTGCGCCGATCTTTTAATTGTACCGCGCAATTTCAAACTTACCTCCGGTCCACCACGCTCCTGGTGGCAGCGCTCTACGCAATCTTAATGAAATATTCAGTGCAAATATTGTCATGAGAAGCTTTCCGGCGAGGCAAACAGGCGCTCGACGGCGCTTGTCGGTGTCGATACGCGCAATTGAAGTTATCCTAGAAAGTGGCATGAGCAACGAAAACACAAAAAAAAAAAATAGCGAACGAACACAGAGAAGCGATTGCCTGTGCCGAACGGATGTTGCGTACGACCATCAGCAACCGAAGCTGTTCGTTAAAGGTCCTTCATGAATGATGGCGTTGCACCTAACCGCGAGTGTGCTGTTGTCAAACAAGGCAGTATCACCAGTCGTACGATTTCTGCCATGATCATACTTGACAAAGCTACGGTTATCATTTCTAGCTCTTCGCTGTTCTCAGGCTATAGACAGACTTAGCACGATCTGCTTAAACTGACTAGCTGATATTAATTTATCGCGATGTTGCCGATTCACTCGTGCAGGTTCACGTCAGCGGGATTGTCACGATCAGTAGGGCCCATAGTTTTCTGAATCTTTTGTGGGGGGTGGCGGGGTACGGACAAGTTTCACTATCGTTGCTAACTGCTGCAATATAGCACATACTTTTGACTACTACGACTGATCTCGTGACAATTCTGCAGCAGTAGCAAACGCAGCTTCTTTCGTCTTTTGCCTATATGACGACACTTGTAAGCCTGTGTAACTGTGATAGGACGTACTTGTTTCATGTCAAGGGGGACATAGAAGTGAAGGGCAGAAGAATGGTTAGATTACGACAGAAAAAAAACTCCGTTACGTTTCCACGCTGCTTTGTAACGATGGCTAGATCAGACGTCAGGGTGATTATTACTTCTAATATAAGCTTAACCCAAGTTCGTTAGCCGGTCACCAATCTGTTGTGGCCATGCAGGGAAAAAGCGGAAGGCCAAATGTCGAGCAAAATATAAAACAAGCAAGAACAGCGATCGTCAGAATAACACTCACGGACGATAAAACAAACACTTTTGCAGCCGATAACTTCTATCATGGCGCAGGGTCCTATACAGAAATACAGAAACACAGAAGTTCTACAGAAGAGACCATCTAGATTCTTTTCTTCTCATTTGGACGGTCGTAGGTACATGTAAATAGCGACGTTTCTATTGCTATGTAATATAACGGTAAACAATCGCCAATGATACAGGCTAGCCCTAAAAGGCCGTGCATACGTGAAGGGTCGAT